GACCCTCCAAAATGGTTGTAGCCACCTTCTGACTGGTTCGAAATCTTTGACACCGAGCTTTGTTGCCAGCTCTTTCACACTGACTGCTGCTAGAGAAGCAAAATGTTTCTTCTCTTCATTACTTTCAATGAAGATTTTTCTTCTGTTGCTGGAAAGGAACCTGAATCCATACCTGATGACACTGAATGGGCCCTGCCTGCCTTAGAAATAAAACTCAAGATTCAATCTTTTGAATTCCGAATAATTTTGAATAGCAAGGCTGAGTGCATTGTTGAACTTTGTGAAGTTAATTGAGAATACCCAAATGGGGACCAGAGTCTCTGTTTTTACACTTCAAAGGTATTTTCATAGGCACCGAAGTGGAAAACACATATACCCAAAAGAAAGAATTTTATAATTCACAGTTGGCTGTAGTAAACTTCTCAGTGGAACAAGTTCAAGGAGGCAGCCACAGCCATTCTTGGGGCTGCAGGACATTTGAGCTCATTCTTCAGCATCAGTAGAAGCTCTGGGTGGACTCTAGTTATACACTCTTTCACGTGCAGACTCCACTGGTTTATGGCATTCCTGGGTGCTGTAACCCAATGTACAGTTAACAGCTGGAGGCTTCCTTCTTGTCAGCTGTGCAGAGATCCCTCTCAGGTTGACCATTCAAGTAGGGACTGATTCTAGTCCTCTTTGTATAGTGAGACCACTTTGTGAGACACAGCCATCAGTTACATGCCCTTTTCTAAATTGTGTTTTGTTATTTCCCTAACATTATTTAAGCTTCATGGAACTTACTCTGCTGTTGCCAAGTCTTTCCATTGAATAAATATCTCCATAACCTATTGCTTCACTTTGGCAACAGAATTGTTGCAATTTGTGGGCAAAATTGAGCAAAGGCCTAATTCTTTTTTTTCTCTGTAAAATGGCCAATGTTGCTGGCTTTCCTTCCCCTGAACAAAGGCCTTGACTTGTTCTCTGTTCTGCTAGTACCCTGTCTCTGTCATTATAGAGCAAAGATTTATAGATAATAGTACTGAACAAAGAATGACTTAACAGACATTGCAGAGACTGCTGTCCCCACACACAGTTACTAATATGAAATAAGCTAAGACACACAGTGCTTAGAATAGTGCCTGGCACTTAGGAAATTATCTGTAAACTAGGATTTATCAGAGTTCTGTGAATTAAAAGTTGTCATTCTTTTCCTCCATTCACATAAGTAAGATTATAATTTCCTAATTACCAAAAGCATCAGAGATGCAGCTAATCACCCAGGCAGACCTCACAGGGACCAGAAGATGCAGAGGCTGTCCAGGCTCCAAGTCCTCACAGAACTGTTTCCCCCAAAGGATCCCTAAAATGAAAGGAGGCCAGAGAAAGCAACGAATGTTTGTTGCTCCATTTCGGGCCAGACACACATCTCTGATCTTCTTCATGACAACCTTGTCATTTATTTGCTAAGTGCTTTTGTTTTGTTTGCTGGCTTTCTGTTGTTTTTTTAGCTCTCTGGAAGGGTTGTGCAGAGAAGTCATAGTGACTCACAGTGATCTGTTATTGTCCCAGAAGGCCTGACTCAGAGTGTGTTAACAGCCTTTCCCAGTTCTTTCCCTTCACAGTGGGCATTGAAGTTTAGCTGCCTTGTCTACATGGCCATGGCACTATTTCCTGTTGCCTGTGTCTTCTCACTTAGGACATTTTGCCCTGGTTGGGCCATATGATGGCCATGTTGATGTTCTTCTCAAGTGTCTTCTAGTTCCAGCATCTGTCAGAGCCTCATCTGTAACTACCCAGTAATGTTTAGTGTTGTGGTGGTGACTTAACCAAGTTTGGAGCCTCATGGGCTGCTGGGGAGTCCCAGTCTCACTCCTTTGTCCCCACATCCTGGCCAGGCTGGTGGCCCCTCTTTACCCTCTCTATGCCTTTCCCTCTGGCATGCCTGTTTTTTGTTCCTGAGACCATATTCTTTTAGCCAAAGAAGCTGCCTCGTGAAATCTGATCAAGATCCAGAGCCCATTTCGTCCTTCTCTGCATTGATGTATGGTGGGCAGCAAGTCTACACAGAGGCAAAAGTGTGTAAGCAAAGTTCACACCCTCTGCTCCTTTCCTGCAACAGCAGGAGGAGGAGTTGGTTTGAAGCTTGAAGACTGGTGTCTGCTTAGTTCAATGAGCCAGTGAGCCCTCTGCTGTCTGCTTTGGGACTGTTACTCATTTGCTAACTAGCCAGAGGGAATTATTTGCCAGTCCTCTTGCTGAGATGGTTTGATTCCCATGAAATCATAGAGTGTTAAGCAAGGCACACACCCTGAAGGTCTTCTAGGAACTCCATATTTTATAGTTGAGGTAACTGCATCCCAGACATTGTGGGGCACCGTAAGCTGCCCAAAAGTACACAGCAGGTGCGTGGTGGGGCCAGACCAGAACCTGGCCCTGGGCAATTATCACTGTCTTCCCTAGGCCATTTGCTGCCTCATGAAAAAGGCCCAATTTCTCAGAATAAATCAATCTCAGATTTTTGTATATAAAATCTACCACTTTGTATACTTTATTACCTCATCTTATTCCTGCTTCTCTGCAAAGAGATTGTTTCCGTGCATCTTAACTTAAGCTATCTTTCCTGATGAACTTTGATTCCTGGCAATTAATGACGAAACTCCTGAGATTAACAAAGAAAAAACAGAAGAAAAGTAATCAACATTTTGCTTTTCTTTACAGACACTCTGGAAAATGGATCCAGTAAGGGTGACAGGTGAGCAGGATGTTTTTATTTGCTATTTGTGCTTTTCACTGATGGCATTTTCTACATAGGCTGCAGTGAGTTTGATCATTTTATTTCTGTTTTGCTTAAATCCAGTGCAGCAAATAGAAAGGGACCGAGCAAAGATGACACATACTGGAAGGAAATCAATGCCGCTATGGCCTTAACCAATCTTGCACAGAGTGAAGATAAACTGCAGGGAACCACCAGCTGCATAATCCAGAAGTCGTCACATATAGCGGAAGTGAAGACCGTCAAAGTACCACTGCTTCAGCAGTTCTAAGTTGGTAGAATTTTCACAGCAATAGCTGTTGTGAACGTCAGTGTCTTTTTATAAACCCTCATCTTAAGAGCCAAAACAGGAGTAAAAATTACTCCCTTTCAAACCTCTTCTTATTTTTAATTATCCTAAATATGTCATGTAGTTGCTTCTATAAAAGACATATAAATTATTTTAAAAACTCACTTTAATCAAAAATATTAACTTATTTTATGTTACTCAAACTATGCATAAAATGTCTGCATTGCCATCCCAGTAAGTGCCTTGCTTCCCAAAAGTAAGCTACAACGTGGGCATAGTAGAGCAGCTATGCCTCAAAATGACAACACCCTAACGCTATTAGCCTGTGTGTATCATTCCAGACTGACCCAGCCATTCCAGGACTGAAACCGTAATTTCTGAAAGCCCTTGAAACATATTCAATAATTCACATGTTGAAACTCGGAAATCTATTCAGCCCAAATGAAATGTTCCTTTTAAAAAACTTATATAGTATTTCAAATTGTTTAGTGTGCTTTCTCAGAGTGAGAGTTTTATGCATGTATCTTGCCTGCATATCTGATACGTTACAAACTTCCAAAATGAAAGGTGCAGTGTTCACATAACTTATACATTTAAGAAGAATCTAAGTGAGTATGTTGTGATCAGAAAAACTTTTTCCAAGCACTGCTGGAAAACACCACAATGCCCTTTAAAATTAATTTGGATTTTCTTTTTCTCAAGTTTTGCTGAAGTTTTAAAAAACATTATATAAATAACGTGAAATTTCCCTGTATAAAACTAAACCAATAGTTTAGTTTTAAAACATAATCCTGTTTGCATTAGTTCAGTGTTTTTTGTGATTGGAACTGTTTTTCATATGCAATGGCTAAAAACCTTTTATTTGGTTCATTCCAAATAGCAGTTGCTGATGGACAATTTATACTGCAATGACAAGACAGTGAAAGAAATGTATCTGTATGTGAATATACATATATGCACATAAAATTGATTTTTAAGTTTAAAACATGTGGAAAACAAAACATTGAAAAGTCTCTGGATTTTACCAAGTAGGATATTAAAGTAAAAATTAAGTGAAGTGCATTAAAAGAAACGACATTTTGTTTCTAAATTAGACTACCATTGAGGGAGAATAATCAATATCAAGAAAGAATATCATTTTCAGTCAAACAATAATATTCTAATCAGTTTGGAAAGACTTGAAACTTGAAGCAACAGTAGAGATGCCAAATACAACACAGTATATGTGCAACAGAGTAAAGAGGATTTGATTCTTTTATGGTGGGATTTTTTTTCTGGGTATGTAATCTATTTTGTAATTTTTTTTTAAACTGGAAAGCATCTCTGTGAGTGTGAATGAAGGCCAATAGTGCAGCCATGTGGTGACATTTTTCTTTATTTTGCAAATTGCTTTTAAAACCATAGGCTGCTCTAGTTTGATGTATGGACAATATCAATCTTGATATGAATTGTAGGATACTTTTTCATGTAATATAGCATTGGGGGATTGTGTTTATTTAGTATAATGAAGATAATTTGATATAAAAATATTTTGTATGTATATATTTTTACTTTGTTTTCTAAATTGCTATTTGCAGTAACAGTAAGTGCAAAGCAAGAAATGTAAGTTATGACTGTATGAGCAGATGGAGTATGAGTTCTTTGACTTTATATCATTAAGTAGTTACAGATCCACAATAAAAACTGTGGACTCTTTCTAAAACAATTTTGCCAAAATTTGACCCTGTCAATGAATACTAAGAACGAGTACTTCACTCTTTTTCATACTACTATAAGTTATTCTGGTATTATGTATTTTAATAAAAATGTTTTTTGTTTTGACATATTTCAGTTAGATAAATGGATGCTGGTTGTTTATTTGAATTAGTCACAATTCATTTTTGCCATATTTTGAAAAAGAGTCAGCAAATTTGCTCTGTGTTATAAACTGGATGACAAGTCAGTATAGGACAGATATGCACATGTTTTTTTTTTAATACAAAAGCTTGGAGTCTGGCCTATAAACACATCAAGAAGATTTTATAATTAGCACATCCTTGACAATATCTCAAATTGCAGTTACTTTTAACTTATTTTTTCTTTTGCTGCTTTAACATTTTCTGGAAATGAAAGTCCCCCCCAATCCTTTAAAAAATATCTTGAACAATGCTGAGCCAGCTGCTGAGAATCTAACTCATAATTTATGTTGTAGAGAAATAGAATTACCTCTATTCTTTATTTTGCCATATGTAATCATTTTAATAAAATTAATAACTACCAGGAGTTCTTGACAGATTTAAAATAAAAGTTAATATCTGCACCTCAATGATCATATGAATTTTGTTTTCCTTTGAGAGCTGACCAGATGGAGAAAAAAGTAGAACAGAAGGGTCTATTATGTGCCATAATTCTCCTCAGGGTCGGTAAGGGATATGATATGGGAGCCCCGTGTTTGTATTAGGTTTGGTTTTCATTACCTTAGACCCCCCAACCCACCTTTTAAGAGCTGAGGAACAGAGAGTATGATGCCAACTTGTAAATTACATAACTTTAAAATGTACACTTTCACTAAATATCTTTTTCAGTAGCTAATACAGTAAGCATTATTAGTGTGTGCTATGTGCTTGGGAGAACCTCGGCTCCGAAGCTACACAGACTTTCATTTGAATTCCAGCTCTGCCACTCGCTGCCGTGAGATCCGGACTCAGTCACTCTCAGCTTTGGTTTCTTCATCTGCAAAGTGAAAGAAATGAGTTAGATGCTATAGAGTTTGCTACAAGGTTTAGATACATATACAATGTGTGAAGTGTCTGCCACAGTGCCTGGCATTTAATAGGTACTCAATAAATGAAAAATATCACATAATTATCATTTTTCTGTGTAGGGTTTTTGTGCAGGACAGTAGAAATAGAAATGGAATGTGAATATGGAAAGCTTAACGAACTGCCTTGGGAAAAGAAAGATGGCATGAGAGACTGGTGTAAAAGTTGGTCTCAGAGTTACAGAGAACTCAAGGAAGATCACTGTATTATCATTACTTTGAACTTCCTGGAGGAAAGCAGCAAGTAGAACAAAGGTAGGGAAGAAAGAAATGCCAAAGAAGACAGTTCACATGGGAGAGCATCCTTCATTCAGATCAACAAAACAGCCCGCCTGATCCTGTTCAAGATGACTAAGAACTCAAGCTGCTGTCTGTATTCCCTGCCTGCTCCAAGTAGCAGTGTTTAACAAACAGTGGCAACAGCCATGGTCGGCAAAACATCATGCAAATAAACACAAAGAATAAGAGCAGGCTGCCCAGACTCTTCTGTCTGAGGCGGCTTCAGTTGGCCATGCTTTGGAAGGCCGTCGGGGGTGGTGTTAAGAACTTGGGCTGGCACAACCTGGCTGCACCTCTTCACTCCTTAGTGACTTGGGGAATAAGCACAAGCCCTCTACACCCACTGTTTCATCTATGAAACTGACCTACTCCGAAAATCTGTTGTAAGGAGTATGAAAGACAGTAAATATAAAAGTGCTTTGCAAATTGCACAGTACTGTACAAATGTTAATGCTTATTAATGTGTTCCACATGACTCTGAAAGGCCTAATATCCCATAATTTTTGGCAATATAAATTGTGGTTCCCATGGAGCATATAGGACCCCTACATTTTTTATGATTTACTACCTTTGGGCCTTTTGGGGCACAGTCTTTTGCTCTTGTACTTCTTTATAACAATTATGATCAGAATGAGGTGATCGATTGTCACACTGCAGGAATAGAACACTGACTTCCTTTCCTAGCTTTGAGATGCATCATAGAAATGGACAGAAAATTTGGTATGGGGGGTATGTGCATTGCTCATAATAAAGTTTTTTTTTTTTTAACGTGAGAAAAACCAATTTATGAGTTTGAAGAAGCAAGCTGACATGGTTTTACATCCTTACACAAATGACTCCATAGAAAAATCACAGAAAGATTATCTCAATAGGTCTTCTCAAACAAATTTCAGCCCAAAGCAGGTTTCTGGACATGTGATCTACAGTGAGTCTAATCTGACTTTTATTCATGACTTTTAAACAAAAATTTATATTTTAATTCATGTTTTAAAAAGGTATAAATGTAAAAAAAAGAAAAGGTATAAATGTAACAACTAGTATGGAAGGATGTAGGATTAAAAGTCCCATGCCCTACCTCTCCACTATCCCAACCCCACATCCCAAAGATGACCTCAGTTAATGATGTCTGTGTATACTTCGAGAAACTCATTTCACATCGTGATAAGGAATTTGCACCAGAATATAAATCAACATACTTTCTTAATCAAGAAGATCTTTCTATGAGAAAAAAATTTGTCCCTTGAACTTGCAGTGCTCTTAGATGTACAGTTGACTTATATTCTGGTCCCTTATCTCCTCGCAGACTAATAACAAGCAGTTGGTGGATTGTCATCACCATGGAGATCATATCTGAATAGCACTGTTATAAATACTGATGCAGTGAACATTCATGTGCATATGCATCTATAGCTACCTATACATTATGGAATAAATACCTAGAAGTAGAATAAATGATATGTACATTAAATTTTTTGATGGATGCTGCCAAATTACCATTTATAAGTTCTACCAATTTACACTTCCAAAAGTGTGATATGGGTGTCCTTTTCTTCAACATGGTCAAAACATGGAGTATTATTAAACTTTTCAATACTTGACAATGTTGTAGATAAAAGAAACACCTCATCATTGTTTTAACTTGTACCTTTTAAAGATGAGTGACGTTGTGCACATTGGTATTTCTTTGCATGTCTGTCTGCCTTCCTTTCATCTGCTTGTTAGCGATGTGTATCAGCTATTTGCGTTTTTAAAATTCATTGCCTCGTCATAATGTGTTGTAAATATTTTCTCAGTTTGCTTTACATTTTTTTTACACTTATATATGTTTAAATTCAGAAGCTTAAAATCATATGTGCGTATGCATAGGGTTTGTAGGGGTGCTGCATATACTTGGTCATCACAGAGGCAGTGTAGTATAGTGCTTCAGAGAACAAATTCTGGAGCCAGACTGCTGAGGTTCAAATCTTTTCTCATCTGCCTACTAATTCTACAGTCTTGGGCAAGGCTAAGCTGTTTCCTCATCTGTGAAATACAGATCATAATAATACCTTATTCCTACTCTTGTTGTGAGGATTACATTAGTTATTTTCCATAAAGCACTTAGCATAATAGTCCCTGGTACACAGACAGTGCCAAGATTGTGAAAAGACACAGCCATCTTTTCTGCTGTAAGTATTATGGCTTATTTTTTATATTTAAATCTTGTATCCATTGGCAATTTATTTTGGCATAAATAAAAATGAAATTTTATGTATAAACGTAAAAATATGTACAAAAGACATATGAGGAAAATTGCAAAACTGATGAACAAAAATCAAAGAAGAACTAAATAGAGAGATATTCCAAGTTCATGGATGGGAAGACTCAACATTGTCAAGATGTCAGTTCTTCCCAACTTAGTCTATAGATTCAATGCAATCCAAATCAAAATCCAAGCAAGCTGTTTTGTGGATATCAACAAATTGATTCTAAAGTTTATATGGAGAGACAAAAGGCCCAGAATAACCAACAAAATAGTGAAAAAGAACAAAGTTGGAGGACCAACTCTACCTCATTTCAAGACTTACAATAAAGCTACAGTAATTAAGGCAGTGTGGTATTGGCAAAAGAATATACAAATTCAGCAATGGAACAAAATAGAGCACCCAGAAATGAACCCACACTTATATGGGTCATTTCATACATAAGAAAGCAAGAATATGTAGTGGGGAAAGGACAGTCTTTTCAATAAATGGTGCTCTGAAAACTGGGCAGCCATGTGCAAAAGAATTAAACTGGACCACTGTCTTACACCATACACAAAAATAAGCTCAAAACAGATTAAAGACATAAATATAAGACAAGAAACCGTAAAACTCATAGAAGGAAACACAGGCAGCAAATTCTTGAACATTGGCATTAGTAATTTTTTTCTGGATATGGCTCCCCAGGAAAGGGAAACAAAAGCAAAAATAAATGACTGGGACTACATCAAATGAAAAAGCTTTTGCATGGCAGAGGAAGTCATCAATAAAACAAAAAGACAACCTACTGTTTGGGTGACAATATTTGCAAATGATATATCTGATAAGGGACTAATATCTGAAATACATAAAGAAGTCATACAACCCAACACCAAAAAAACAAATAATCCAATTAAAAAATGGGCAGAAGATCTGAACATTTTTCCAAAGAAGACATGCAGATGGCCAACAGGCACATGAACAGATGCTCCATGTCCCTAATCATCAGTGAAATGCAAATCAAAACCACAGTGAGGTATCACCTGTCAGAATGGCCACCATCCAAAAGACAATAAATAATAAGTGTTGGTGGGAATGTGGAGAAAATGAACCCTCCTACACTGTTGGTGGGAATGTAAATTAGTGCAGCTACAATGGAAAGCAGTATAGAGGTTTCTCAAAAAACAAAGAATAGAAATACCGTATGACCCAGTAATTCCACTTCTGGGAAATTACTTAAAGAAAACGTGTGAATGCCTATGTTTGTCTCAGCATTATTTAAAATAGCCATTATATGTAAGCAACCTAAATATCAATCAATAGATGGGTAGAGAAGATGTGGTACATATATACAATGGACTCTTACTTAGCCATAAAAATGAATGAAATCTAACCTTTTGTGACCACATGGATGGACATAGAGGATATTATGCTAGGTGAAATAAGTCAGACAGATAATGACAAATACCATATGAATCTGAAAAACCAAAAAATGAATGAGGAAAACAAAAAAGGACTCGCAACAGACTGCTGCTTTCCCCAGGGGAGAGGGAAGGGGTGATTGATCGAAATAGGTGAAGGAAAAAAAATTAGAATATTTGATATCTTGATCTGGGTGACAATTATGTGAGTGTACACACATGGCAAAATTCATCAAGCCATATACTAAGATTTGTGCATTTTATTATATGTACATCAATAAAAAGTAAAGTTTTAAAAAGTTTTAGATTCTTAAAAAATGCTAAAAATAAATAAATAATTTTCGTGTTACTTTTACACTGTCAGTATTTATGCCACTTAAATCAGTCTCTGAAACCCTGGCTCCACAATTATAGAAATGACTCTAGTGAGTCCTTTGGCATACTACTTGCCCTGCCCTTCCTGAGTTCTCTAGTTTGATTTCTCTTTTGACTGAAAAGATTTTGTCATTATTTGTTTTTTTTCTTATCAGATGAGCTCAGGAATGCTGAATTCCCTCAGATTGAAGCTTTTTGTTCCTTTATACATTCCTGAGAACCTAAATCGATATACAAGTTTGGGATCTTCTTGTTATTAATTATGCACCACTACAAGTTGGCTAATTAGATAATCATTGCAGGAAACTCGGATGCCAGCCTTATATTCCCTCCAATACATTGCTTGATTTTTTTTTTTTTTTTTGCTTGAAGGCCCATTCAGTAACTTAACCGGAATCTGTCCAAAGCATTCTGGAGCATTGTGTCTTCTGGACCTATGAACTGAAATCTAATTTATGTCAGGAAAAAAATTCTACTATCTAAATTACTTCTTAAGTTCCCTTTGTCTGTTCTCTTCTTCAAAATTGCCAATTAGCCTTATTCATTGATTCAACTCTACGTACTATCCTATATCAGGCATTTTGATGGGTACACCAATAATATACACTAAGAGAGTACAGTAGAATTCTAGTTAAATCTCCTATGTCAGTCTTTCATACCTGTTTTTAGGAGCATGAGGTTTTTCTTTTGTTGTTTTCACATTTCTGTGTTTTGTTTTGATTTTTAAATTATCTTATATTTCTTCCCAGCCCTCAGGAGGCTAATTCTTCATGTCTTTATTCTCTCCTCTCTGTGATGGTTACATCATTCGTATTCTCTTTGAGCTTGCTTGTTAAAATGTCTTTCCTTTTTAGCTTCCTTGTGTATACAGATGAGCCTTGCACATTACAGGTTTGAACTGTGTTGGGTCCACTTAAGCATAGATTATTTTCAATAAATATATTGGAAAAATTTTTGGAGAACTGCAACAATTTGGAAAAGACATTTTCTTTTCCCTAGCTTTCTTTACTGTAAGAATATATATATATACAAAATATGTGTTAACTGTTTATGTTATCAGTAAGGCTTCTGGTCAACAGCAGGCTATTAGTAATTAAGTTTGGGGGAGTCAAAAGTTATACATGATTTTCAATTGCATGGGGGTTTGGCACCCCTAACCCCTGCAGTATTCAAGGGTCAACTGTATAGAACAATATCTTTGAAGAACATTCTGGTCCTGGAAAATTTCTTCTCACGCACGTTCTTCATTTGCTCTTTGCTTATTATGTTGGCTTTTTGAAAAGTATGCACTGGTCTCACTTTTTGTCCTTTACACTTATTACTACTCTTTTTTGGAATGGTTGTGGAAGTGGGGAGAGTGCAATGTCTTTGGCAGCTCCAGGCATGTGCTTCAGAACCACACCGTGCTCATATTTGCTTCCAGATCTACCCTTTGTCTGTGTGAGGGCATAACTCCCATCTCCAGAATGGGCAGGACTTCCAGGCGGGAACTGGAGAGACTCACAGTGAAATATAGTCACTCTCAAGATTACTTCTTTGTCCAACTGACTCCAGATATTCCTCATATCCTGTGGTTGGGTCCAAACCAAGTTTCATCAAAGATGGAAGCTTGCCCTGTTTTTCTTCAGGTTGGTATTTGTGGGAGGCTCTGGCAGAGGGAGTGGAGTAGGTGTCATTTTGCACTACCATCTTCTACCAGAAGTCTCAGGGAAATTACACTCTTACTGTTTTTCTTTATTGTGGTCTTTAAAATTCCTGTTCTGATATTTCAATTTTTTGCTTTCTTTTTTGTACCTTTGCTAGATTTGCACAACTCCCTCACATGCTCTTTCTTGCTCTCTTTCTGCCTGACAGTTTCATGTTACCTAGACAGATTCCCTCCTTTAAATAAATTCTGTTGCCTTGCCTAGTCTGTCACATGACCCCCTCGGTGGGGTGGCTATGAAGAAGTGATAACCTCTACTTCCTGTTCACTTTCTCACAGGCGGTTAAGCTTAAATGTGAGCTATAAAACCTCTCCAACCAACAAGCCCAACCATTTATCACTATCCTCTTAACTACCTCTGCCTTTTGGATATCTCAACTCCCCAAAGGACTGTCAATTTAACCATAACTACCTAACAACTGCCAAGCCTCACTTTATGAGCTGCTGTTGAGAGTTTAGCTATTTAAGGCTGATTTTTTAAAAATTTTATTGGCACTTCATGGCATTTGCTTGATTTACAGTACTATAAATAACCACAAATGAGGAACATTTTCCTTTAAGGTGTAGGCAAAGATTAAAATGGATTCTGAATCATTGTTCTCCATATAGTTAATTCCTTACTGGGTCATTCTTCCAAGTTCACCCAACTCAAAAAGGCAGAATACAGTCAGTTCCTCTTGGGAAAGAGACTTCTGTGCAAAGAATAGATTCCTTAGAGCATTAACTCTTTCCGTCCCCAGCCCGAGCTGCTGGGGCTGCTTCTCCACCAGCCCTGCTGTCTTTTCTTAAGACAAAGGCTTTGATGACATGCATGACTTCATGCATTACAGGCAGTCCTGTGTTTTTCAAAGATACCCAAAGTAGGATAAATCCAGTGGTTAGAAAAGAAACCTCAAATATTATTCAGCCATAAAAAAGAATGAAATTCTGACACAGTACATAGATGAACCTTGAAGACATTATGCTAAGTAACATAAGCCAAGTGCTAAGGGAAAAATATTATACAATTCCAGTTAAGTGAGGTACCTAGAGTAGGTGAATTCACAGAGATAGAAAGTAGATTAAAGGTCACCCCCATACCCAAAGTTAATGATTAGTTATTGCTTAATGGTGACAGAGTTTCTGTTTGTGGTAATAAAGTTTTGGAAATAGACGGGAGTGATGGATGCACATAGTGACTAATTAATACCACTTAACTGTACACTTAAAAGTGGTTTACATGGTTTTTTTTAAAAGACATATAGTACTTTAAAAAAAGATGCAGGGAAGTAACTTTAGGACATTCACTTCCTCCACGTTTACCTCTTCTGAAAGTATTGTGAATAAAGGCAAATCCTTGGGGTCCTGCCCCGGAAGCCTTCTCCTCACTCAGAATGCAGAGGTGCCTGGACTCTGTCTAGAGGGATTCCTCTCCATCACCTTCTGAAGTCTCTCCACCCTGCTTCCCCTGGAGGGGACACCTTGGCGCCTCTCTCCCACCCTCCCCCAAGTCCTCTGTGTCACTTCCAAGGCTGTGTGGCACTCCCTTCAGTGTGGGAAGGTGGGCATAACAGTTCTCAACACCACCAGCTAAGGTTTAATAGGACACACTTCCCCAATCCTGTGCTGGTGTGAAGACCATCTGGGCAGAGACCACCATGGCTCCTGTCCCTCTGCAGCCCCTCAGGGGAAACAGAAGATCACCTGGACAGAGTAGTCAGCCTACTGAGTGGCAGTGCCATGAAGAGCCACAGTCTTGGCCCCACTGTCCACTTAGGAAGCAGGCCAGATACCTGGAAACAGTGTTCCAAATCACCCACTGGGCTGGTAACCAGTGTGACTTCTGCCTGCACTCTAAATCCCTTAAACCAGGTGGGCCAGTTTGCTGTAGTTTCACCACCACAGGTCCAGGCACATGGCAAGGACAGGGCTATGGAGCAGCTGTAGGGCGTACATAAGCAAACATAAGGAAGGCCTGTCATGCTGGAGGACTTCAGCTCTGGGCCAGTTCACTTTGGATTCTGTGAGACCAAATAAAGACAAAGGAACACTGTGGGTAAAAGGTCTCATGCCAAGGTTTATTCCTTGGCAGGTTGAGTGCTAGAATCACATCTGCATCTGGCATGTCCAGAATCTGTCTCAGCCTCTGGCAGCCCAAGGGGAGCACTGGGCGGAGCTCTTTATATAGCTACACAGACAATGATGGCTCATTGGCAAAGGGTGTGCAGTAAGCTAAGTACTACATCACTGCACTGCACGTGCACAGTGGGTGAGTAGATTAGGATCAGGTGAGGATCCTGGCAATGGGAACTTCTGTTTTCCCTCCAAGGCCCTAAACATTGTTTGAAGAAGAATGAACAGCACCTCTTTATAAATACTATAGAAGCAGTTACAGATAAGGCTAAAAAAGCAAATCCCAGGCCAGGTGCTAAATCTTCCAGGATAGAAAAGACAGTAAGTATCTTGTGTAGTCACAGGAAAACCACCCATTTGTATACAAAATGGCAGTAACAAGGAAAGGAGCGGGCAGGGTTGGGAGCCTTGCAGAAACCAAGGCAAAATCGAAATGTGTGAGGAGTTCCTATTAATTCAGGAAATTGGTTATTACCTGAATTCATGTTTAGTGAATTTGCTTTCAGGATTGGAGTCCAGCCCACTGACTGCCAATTGACCAACCCTGGTCCGTATAAAGTGCATTTTCAGATTTCTCAGGAAACAATATTTGTCACATAGAAACAGCAGGAGAGAGATAACATACCAACATACGTATTAAAGTTATCTGACCTATTCATGACAAATAATTCCAGGTTCCACGGGACACAGGAAATAAAGAATTGCATTTATCTGCTTAATATGTTAATAACCATGAGAGGAACTTTCTCATGAGCAGGTGAAGCTGGCAGGAAACACAGTGGCCGAGCTTCTGAGGCAGGGTGGGCTGCAGAAGCCACAGTGTGCGGCAGCATAAAGGAGCCTGCCTTGTTAGTCTAAGAAAAACATAATTACGGAGGAAAACTACTAGTGAAAACTCTACCATCATATATCATGCACTCTGAAGCCAGATACGCTGGAAGGTTTTTGTTTACACACTGTCTGGAATTTTCCATACTTTGCCATTGACCAGCGGAGAGACAGCCTTGGAGCTGGCTCATTAAGGCCTTAGAGAAAGGGGCCAGGGGACTGAGCATCTCACCCAGAGGGAAGGCTTCTGATGATGTTAAAGCAAAACGGAGCTGACAGTTTCCTGTGCTGTGCTCTTAGTTCAAGAGTGAAGCTGCAACAAATCCCTGGAATTCCATTCCCTTCTCTTTCCCGCCATTGTTGTCCCCAGCAATGTCTGACATGAGCGTGCGATTTCTCTCTTGGGCCCCACACTTGTATTTTACTTACTTATTAATGCCTCTTTACCTCTCTGCCCTGTCTTCTTCTTTTTCCTTTTTTCTCTCTCCTTTTTCCTTTTATGTAGGTACTTGGTCATTTGTCTCTGAGTTGAAGTTGGTGTTCTGGTACTAAAAATGAACATAAAACACACACAAACAGTGTGAACACTCCTTTCTGGAAACTCCTCTTTACAGTATTTGGGCTCATAGAGTGAAAATGACGAGAGTGTGTGTGCTTTAATATGGTTTTACAAGAGAATCTACAGAGGTTGGATTGCACCCTTGTTGGTAGGTGGAGTATCCCTGGAAAGATGGAGTGATTTGGAAAAGAAGCTTGAACTTACAGCAGGAAATTGGAACCAAGTGCATGGACCTAGGTAGGTGTGAAATGGCTTTTCTTGGTCTAGACATCACAGCACCTAATGTCTAAGGGACCACTCCTGAATAGTGGTTGTTAAATATGGCATTTCAAACTGACACTTAGAAACAAAGTCTCAAACAGGGCTAGATTTAATCGCTGGGCATCCCTCATGCAACTGTGACCTCTGGGCTGCATGCTCTACTTTGCAAGGCAGATTACCTCTATACTCAGTATCTTAGACACCAATTTCCCTTTGGTTATCTCCATCCATGATTCAAGGGTGTGAAGGAAAGAACCTCTTTGCCAATGTTTAGGTCTGAGTGTCTTAGGGATTCCATGAGTCCCTGAGGCCATGACCCTGTAGAGGTTGTCTATGGCAGGGCCAGACTTGGGAGAGTCTCCTTTTAACACTAATTTATGAGTATTTGGCCTTAATTCATTATGGAACTTGGTCTTTCTTTGCCTTTTCCTGCTCAATTCTCTTAATGATCTTCTTTCTTCCCCAAACATTTGTACCCAGTTACTAATTTTTGCTCAATAGAGTTAACTCAGTTAAAAGAAATCATGCCCTGTGCTAGCCCACAACCGCCCCCCCAAGCCCCACAGAATATGCCCTTAGGGTATACCAGGTGGTGCAGTATTTAACTCTTCGTTCAAACCAGTAACTTTAAAACCTTGGTCCTGACCAGTGTGTCAAAATGAACTGAGATCATTTATTTAAAATACAGATTCTCAGGCCCTGTCCCAGACCTCCTCAATAAAATCTCTGAGGACAGAGTCATGAATTTTGTCTTTTTGTTTAACAGTCCTTGAGTGACTCCGATTCACAACTGATTGTTACAATTCCTGGCACAAACTGTGACACACATTTATATTTTGCTTAAAAATCCAACTTTTAAAAAATTTAACCAAAGCCCTCTCAGCTTTATAATAAATCTTCCATCTTGTTTTTACCAAAATATAAAACTCTTTACTAAGTTTACAAAGATGGCCTCTAAAACTATTTTCCTTTCTCAGAATACTTTTTCCTCCTTTTCTCTTTATTTTGGGAGGTTTCCTTAAGCTTGTGTTCCATTTTACTAACTTAGTATTCTGACATACCAAGTCAGATCTTTTATTTCATCTTCTATCCAACTGGATTCCTTTCTTAGCCCATTTAGCTTTTCAAGAAAACCTTAGCTTCATGACTGATTTCAGTCTTATTTTGTAAAGTCCATGTTTTCTTACGTATCTTTGAGTCCATAGCAGATGCTGCCTTAAACGGTCTCCTTTTTCTGCAACAAATCTTTTATACGTTTATGTTCCCTCTGCCTTCTGAGTACTATATTTTTCTTCTTATATTAAGAGTTTCTCCCGCATGGGTCAGAGTTCAATCAGGGAAACAGAAACAATCTGGATGTTTTAAACAGGTAAGTTAAATACAGAAAATTGGCTGCAGAGATGACAGAAGAGACGAGGGGCCACACAGGGATACTGGAGAGACTGGGAGCCGCAGTGCTGGGGGCACAAAGCCAGGCTACCTGGCGAGGCTGGGCCCTCCGCTGCCTGAGGCTGTGCAGGAAGAGGCTGTCGTGTCTAGTGGGAGCTGGAGCCACAGGCGGACACAGCCATTGTGGGGTGGGGGTGGGGGGCCTTCTGAAGTAGAGAGAGGACATCCTGACCTCTTCCTTCCACCCTCTCCAGTCCCTCATCTGGGCCTCCGGAGAATGAGAAAGCCTTTGATACAGAGCAGTATCACAGGGCCTGGATCTAAGCAAGCAGAACAAGCGACCTCTGCATTGTGGGCTACTTTTGTTTCCCTTCTACTCTTTTTTGAACAATGAGGGTTCTGTATAAGCCAAGCATTTGTGCCAAAGGATTCCTCTTGGAAACTATCTGATGTCTTAACTGGTGTGATCCACTAACGGGGAAACAGAAGAAAGGATCTGGGGGCTCTCCTGGCAGTAGAAATCCTGTCTGCTTTTGCAAAGCCTCCCTACCAGGCCAGCTCCCTCGTGTCTGAGCCTCCTTCCGGGTCTGCAGCTGCATCATCAGGGCCCAGCTCTGCCACTATGGGCCCCTGTGTGCCGTGGCTACCTCAGTGGCCTCCCAGCCCAACCAACTGCTCATGCCTTGGCCTCTGCTTGATCCTGCTGCCTGAGAAATTTTACAGTGCCCACCGCTAGCCACCCCCTGGCAGGGCTCCTGAAGCCACACAAGGGAGACCTTGACCTAGCTCCTAAAGATACTGTTGAAGGAAGGTCCTGACTGCTTCTGCAGAGACCTCGACCCCCAGTGCTACAGGCTGGGCTCCCACACCCTAGCTGTGGCCGCCAATGACTCCCTTGTCCAGTGTGGGGACATCAGAAGTGAGAGCCAAGGGAAACTGCAGAAGTGGGTTAGGCCTCTGATGACCAAGGGAGGCCCAGAGGAAGGGGGCCTTTAAGGCAGAGGGAGGAGCATGGCCAGAGCCTGGGAATAGAAGAAGCTGGGCACAATGGTGGGGAGGGCTGAGCAGCGGGGAGGGCACGCTTTGAGATCTGAGCCAGGTGGCATAGATTGGGAAGGGCCTTACACACCAATGTGTTCAGCCCTTATGCTGCAGGAAATGGGCATCCAGTGAACACAGGTATCAGCATCATATGTGAGTCTCAGCAAGAAATCCCTCTGGTTACAGTGAGTGGAACCAGTCAAAGAGAATTAGTCCAGAGACTGGGGAGCCAGTTAGAAGGTCGAGGCTAGAGACGAAGCAGCCCATAGCGAGGGTAGCAAAGGGATGGGAGAAACAGACTGGTCAGGAGAAATTACAGTGCCAGGCAGGGCCGTCGGTTGGGCGTGGGGTGTCAGGGGCAGAGGTAACTGAAACCGAGGCCTTCCTGGTGTGGGTGACCAGAGGAAGGTAGCAGACACTGAAGGGAAACCAGCTCAGAGGAGCTTCAGGGAAGATCTGCTTTTACTTTTTTTAACTGGATGAGTTTGAGACACTTGCGGAAAATCAGCAACTACATGTCTCTGGGGTGCAGCTGCTACCTACCATCTGTAACAATGCTGTTGATGTAAGTACTATTAATGTCCAATTAACAGTGCTACATTCCTATATAAACTCTGCCATGTATGACACTGAAAATGTTCCATTTGGAAATCTTCCAGATGTTATTTCCAAGATCCTGCCTGGGACACAGGTTAGCTTTTAAATGGACTGTTTTTATTAGAGTGTGTCTTGTAATGACACTTATTCAAAGTTTTATAGGTCAGCAGGTCCACCTACAGTCAGACAGATTAAAACCCCACGGAGAGGGCACCAGAAGCCTGCGCCTGCACGCACCGAAGTCCTTCGCGGGCCTGGATGGTTTCTCAGGGTGCCATGCCTCACAATTACCAAGCAGGACAAACAAGGCTGTCTCTCTGAGCAAACATGGTCAAGTCAGGAACTGTGAAATTTGGTCTCTATCAAAAAGGTCCCCAGAGCGCCTGAAACGCATTTAGAGCCGTTTCATAGAGAAGCTGTTCTAGGAACACGACGGGCCTTGTACAGCACCTTTAAAATAACAACTTTCCATTAAGCCATGAACACTAAGGAAAATATTTCTTGCAAATATTTTTCAACCAACTTCCAACAGAGCGTTGCCTTATACAGCTGCCCTGCCTGAAACACTGCTTTAGCTCTGTGAGGAGCTATAGGACCTCCTGCTGACCTGAACATGCTCTCAGGGCATGGCTCTTTCCTAGGAGTAAGACGGAGTGAGGAATTCTCCACATCATTTGTAATGTGAAATATTCTTTGACTCTGTTTCATAAAAATACCAGAACGAAGGTAATGGTAAGGTGGACATGGATTTATTATTGAAATTCCATTCTTTCTTTAAAAAAATAGTTAAGAGCACTTACTAGATGCCGGGAACTGTTAGAGGTGCTCAGAGATAAGAAGCTGAATTATAAGGTCTCTTGTCTTCTCATCAAGTCCACATTCTAATGTGAAGAGAAAGAGAGTAAACAAGAAAACATATAAATGAGCAAACTAATTTCAGCTTGTGTGGAGTGGTATGAAGAACTACAAACAGGGGGCATGGAAAAACGTTAGGGTGGGGCATGCAGTTAGAAGAGTGGTCAGGAATGTGCAAACATTTCACTGTCATAATATTTCATGACATGAAAATTACATAAAATTCAAATTGGAGCACCCATAAATAAAGCTTTATTGGAACACAGCCCTGTTTATGTATCGTCTACCATTGACTTGGGCTGTAACGGCAAAGTTGAGTCATTTCAACAGAGACAGCAAGGCCTGCAAAGCCAAAACGTTTACTATGTGGTTCTTTACAGAAATAGTTTTCTGATCTGTTCTAGATTTAAGAAAATGAGAAGGAAATGTTAAGAATGCAGATTCTAAATGTTAAAATTGAGAGTGTTGTGTCTTTCATGTTACATTATGAATAACAAAAAAATCACAGAAATATTCTCCCAGTATTCAAAAACTATTATCCAATTCGAGAAAGAAATCTCTCACATCATCACCAAACAAGTGACGATCTGTCATACTTCTATGTTGTTTCACTTTCTTCTTAATCAAAATGAACAAAAATATCAGCTAACATTCATGATGTGAGTGATTTATTTGCTGAATCAGACAGTAATCAAGCATTATTCCTAGCCTGATTTGGGGATGCTAGTGCTGGAAATAGTATAAAAACTGATAGTGGTATTAGGGAAGATGGTGCAGTAGGAATCTCCAGAAATCCATCTCTCCACCTAGATAACAAATGTACTATCAGAATATGATGCAACTATTTTATAACTTTGGAGTCTACTAGAAGGCTTGCAGCTTCCAGGCAAAGGTTAGGCCTTTAAATTGAGGGTAATTCTGTCACAATCAACAATTAGCATGGCAGAGCCTGTGCAGCCCCAAGCCCCGAGTCCCCAGTCCTCAGCCTTATGGCAGCCAATGCATAATATTTCACCCAACAGCAACAGAATGCACATTCTTCTCAAGTGCACATGGGACATTTTGCAAAATAGACCATATGTTAGTCCACAAAACAAGACTCAAGAGATTCAAAAAGACAGACATTACATAAAATGTCTTCTCTAATTGCAACAAGATGAAGTTAGAAATCAGTAACAGAAGGAAAATGGAAGTTCACAAATGTGTGGAAACTATGTAACACTCTTAAACAGCTAAGGGGGCCAAAGAAAAAAATCACAAGGAAATTAGAAAATATTTAAAGATGAATGAAAACAAAATACCATATATCAAAACTTGTTGGATGCAGTGAAAGCAGCGCTAAAAGGGAAATCTATAGCTGTAACCACTGACATTAAAAAAGAAGAAAGCTTTCAAATCAACAACCTGACTTTATTTATTAAGAAAAGAAGAACAAACTAAACCCAAAGCTAGCAGAAGGAAAAAAATAATAAAGAGCAGAGATAAATGAAAGAGAGGCTAGAAAAACAGTAGAGAAAATAAACAAAACAAAAAGTTGTCCCTTTGAAAAGAACAACAATATTGACAAAATTTTAACTAGACAGCTAAGAAAAAAAAAAAGAAATAAGGCTGAAATTACTAAAATCAGAAATGAAAGTGTGGACATTACTACCAACTCTACAAAAAAACAAAGGATTAATAAGAGAGTACTGTGCACAAACGTTTGACAACAAACTGGATGATCTAGATAAAGGTGTCCAAGCTTCCTCCTTCCCAGTGAAAACGCCCCTGCCCATCCCATTGAAGTTTTCAGCTTCCTCCACCCTGATTATTTCCTATCCTTACTAACCCTGCTTTCATTTTAAATCTTAGCATTTGCCACTATCTAATATATATCCACTCGATTTGTAAACACCATGAAAGCAGGATTTCTCTTTTGTCTGTTTTGTTACATCTTTTTGCATTGTTGCTGAAGCCCCTACACTTAATAGTCATTCAGTAACTGGCTGTTGAATGAATGCTTGACTACAATGTGTAGGGCTTAATAACTGCCAGGAAGTGAGTGCTTGTGTCTTTGGAGGCAGAGGAAGGATATGTAAGGAAGCAAGGGCCCAGTATTGAACATTTCCACTGCAGATGAGGGTTTTGTGATTCAGAATTATATTGCTATGTCCATAGGTAGCCACTTGGTAGCAAACATGCTGCGGTCATTTTGAAAGGCATAATCATTCCCAAACTCAACGTTTTTTCAGAGGCAGAAAATGAGGACAAAAGATGAGGTGACACGGGTCATAGTCGAGACTGATTTTTTTTAAAACGTATTTTTACCTGCAGTGTGATTAAAGGAATCAGCGAAGGACAGCCTGAAGCAGAAAGCATGAGCAAGGAATGGGAGAACCCTTATTTGAGAGAAAAAGACATGGCAAGTCAAGAGAAAAGCCAGCACTCGGGGCCAAGCGTGATACAACCTTTGGCTTTTGTGGCGTAACCCAAATATAACTGGAACCCACTTGGCGTAGCTTCAGCACATACGTTTTGACTCAAAGAATCACAGTCCGCTGAAAAAAATAAATGAAATCAGTTCCAACTTTTACTTGGGGGAAAATTGCCATGAAATGTGGAGAGAACTACACACTGAGGGCACAGCCTGTCATGCTGGGTCCTGTCTGTTCTCAGTACTCAGCACAGGAAGCACAGCTGAGCTCAGAAACCTCTTCCTCCTTCCCTCCCAGCTCCCAGTCTAAATGCTCTCCATGGCCCAAGTCCTGCTACTCCCCATCCTCCCTCTGCCCTCCTTTCATCTCCAACTTTCTTTCTCCTGGGTAACCTGTCCTTTGCAACTTCACTCCACATCCTCACTCACCTGGTCGTGTGTCTGTCTTACCTGTTGCCTCAATTCTGCATCACAAATCCAGGCTCTGAGCTGACAAAACTCGAATACTCTGGAGAGCGGTAGAGGAGGTCCAGGAAAGGCTGTGACCACAAAACATAATTTTCTTCCCCATCACAGTGGAATAAGTCTCTTTTCCCTCCCTGGATTTCAAGTGTCTTAAAATATCTGATTTCAAAAGGAGGAGGAGAAAGAACCCCTCTGACAAGACAGAAATATTAGTGAGAAGAGAAATCCCTCTCTTTGACCAGGGATTTCAGCCAAATGAGCTAAAAGGCCAGGATTCTTCTTAACCACCATGCCGCAAGACATAAACGAATCTATTTACTCAGCAAAATATTTCCTTATTATATTCTGAGTAATTTCCCATTGAAAACAAACAGTGCATGTCAAAAAGCTCCAAGTGTCCCTCAGGCCCTTGAGGTGAGAATGCACCCATCTCAGTCATCTTTGCTCTCCTTTCAAGAAAGAAGGACAAACAAGTTTATTTTTACTTTTGTCTTTTTATTTTAACCAAATGCCACTGTTCAGTTGAGCTTTGAAAAAGACAAAGAAAAGCAGCAAGCATCTTAGTTTAGACTGACTACAGAACACACATGGGCCACCAACTCAGACACAGGGAGCCTGGCTCTCATGAAGTCTTTGCTTATTAACCACTGAAAAAGAAATAAAAGTCACTTCCCTTTTCCTTTTCTAATGATTTATCAGTACAATTCACTGGACAATCTACTCTTTCCCTACTGATGTAAATTGCCACTTCTGGTAAATTTATGATGAATTTTAATATCCTGTATGGTAAGTCCACTTCCCTTATTTCCCTTACCCTTTAAAAATTATTGTCTTTTATATTTATTATTCTGGGTGAAATTCAGAATTATCTGATTTTGTTAAAAAAAAAACCTGTATCAGGATTTATTTATTTAATTAGGGTGCCCTTAACATCATTGCAATTTTATCTTTTTAAATAGTCTTTTTTAAAAGTTTGCTGTTTCCTTCAAACAGGGGGTAATCCAGAGGTGGTGGGCCCTGGAGGAGGTCAGGTTATCAGTCGTGAGCTCTCCAGGTGAGGGGCAGATCGTTGAAGACCAATCCCTTGGGCTCTTCAGCTGACTGCCTGAAAGCCTCAAGAACATAGGGCTCTTGCAAGAAAGGACACGAGCAGTCTTTTCCTTTAGGCTGGTCAGTGTCCTCAGAAAGGAACTAACTTCTCTTCCAGAAGATTTCATGCTGCCCATTAGTTTTCTGAGACCCAAGTGAAGGAAAAGTCATAGATCTCACCACTGAGGAAATCGACTTTCACTAAGCCTTTATTTTCAATATGGTATCTCACTCCCACTTTTCTGTTTATGCTGGGCATGCCCAAATCCATAACCTGGCAGATTCACACTCTCCAGAGACAACCTCCAGTCTTCTGCAGAAAATGAGAAGTAGTGACATGACAATGTAGGGTTAGGGAAGAGATCCATCCTTCATGCCTTGTGTGTGTGTGTGTGTGTGTGTGTGTATACACACACACACACACACACACACACAAAATAGGATATACATATATATATCCTATACATCCTATTTTGGAGAATATAAAAACTCATTTTTCTTGGTATACATCCCAAGAGTGAAATTGCTAGATGGTAGGATATACAAATGTTTAGCTTTAGTAGATATTGCTAAATAGTTTTCTGAAGTGGTTTGTACTTCCAATTTGCTGATTTCATCTCCGAGATATCTTTGCTATCTACGCTGTTGATTTCTTTTTCCTTCCATATACTTAGGGTTTATTTTCTAATTTCCTTAGGAGGCTTAAATCATTGATTTTGAACTTTTCTTTTTCTATTATATTTATTTAAAACTATAAATTTCTCTTTAGTCAGAAACTCGATTTCTCAAGTTTTGATATGCCAAATTTGTATTATTATTGAGCTCAAAATATCTCATAACTCCTATTGTGATTTCTTCTTTTGGTACATGTGTTATTGAAGTTGAGATTTCCTATTTATCTTTCTATTATTGATTTCAAGTATAATTCTAGTGTGGTTAAATAATGTTTTCTATATGTTCCTAGCCCTTGAGCTTTTTTAAGACTTAATCTATGATTCAGCATATGGTCTACTTTGGTAATGTTCCATGTGAACTTGAAAAGAATGTGTGGTCTGCAGTTGTTGGCTGTGATGTCTTATATTTGTTAGGTTCAGTTCTTCCATGTTTCTGTTAATTTTTTTCGCTACATATTTCCATCACTTATAATCAGTTACTGAGAATGGTCTATTAAAATCTCCAGCTCTAATTGTGGATTTTTGATTTCTATCTTCATTCAGTTCTTTCAACTTTTGCTTTGTATCTTTTATAACTGTTGGGTGTATACAAATTTAAAATTATTGTCTTCTTCATGAGTCAGCTCCTTCATCATTAAGGAAATTCTCCTGTCTCTATTAACATTTCTTACCTTAGGTCCTATTGTTTGCTATTAATACAGCTATATCAGCTATCTTGGTTGGTGTGTATATATGGCATATTTTTTTCTTACTAGTTTTCCATTTTCCTATATCCTTATAAATAAAGCAAGTCTCTCCCCAACAGTATTTTATTTAAAGTGTGTCTCTCATAAACAGCATGTAGTCAGTCTCTTTTTTTTTTTTTTAACCAAATTGGCAAATGGGCTCAGTGAAGCAAGTAGCTGGTAATTGTCACATCACCTCCGAACTGGAATTCCAACTATCTAGTGCTCTTTGCTTCCACGACTCTCCTATGTCTTTAAATATATCACTTTGGAGAATTTCAGGATCTGTCTAGTTATTGTAGTAAGGACATGGGTCTACTGTGACCCACTCCATCCTGCCGTGAAGTACAAGTCTCTGAATCTTTGTCACTAAATAACACACTTAACTAGTCATGGTTCCTGTGATAACTGCTTTATTTGATTGAACTGTGGGTATTTTTCATTTTACTTTTTGATAGACTTATCTCTTTACTTCTAATGACGTAGACACTGTGCACCCCAGATGTCACTGGCTCTTTGCTATCTAAAAACAAAGAAAAAAAACCACTGACTCTCTCTACCACACTCAATGAGAAATCTAACATCTGCTCTAACATGTTGGCCAGTTTATAAAGACTTACATTTTCATGGTCGATTTTGCTTAGATTATGCATCTTACCCTCTCACTATCCCTCGCAGCCTTTGCCACAGCTGTGTGATACCCACAGCTTCACTAGGGCTCCAGTGTGTTCCTGATTCCTTTTTCCTTTATTCTCTGTCAACCTCCTCAGTCACCACAAAGCTTCTACAAAGCTTTTACTGAACCTGAAGGTGAAGAAAGGATTGTAAATTATAGCAGTGCAAGAAAACATGGCATCAAACGAGGCATCTTCTTAAAAAGCTTTGGTCATCCTGACATGAAAAATTTCTCAGGAGCCTCCTTTCTCCACAGGAGATGATTCTTTCACCAGATGAAGTTGACTTCTTTCTCATTGGATCTTGACTTTGTCTTAGGCCACATTTTAGTTCTCTACCCGTATTCCAGTCTACAACTCACGAACACGCTGTGCTAGAAAAGGTGTGTGTGGTTTCGGGACCTTCCGCTTACCAGCACCAAAGTAGTCGCATGCAACTGGGAGTTCCAGTCTTCCTGTGTCTGTGTTGAAAGGGCCAAGACAGAGGTTTCCTTTTTTCTTTTGACATAACTTATGCTACGATTTTTTTCTCTATATATATTCCTAGTCTTGACCTATAGGAACTTCTCTTTCAATAACATTTGAACCTAAATTATTGATCACAACCAAGCAAGAAATCGTATCTGTTCACTTTCCCTCACTCCCAAACAAGACATTTTAATATCTTTTTACTTCATAGCCCTCAGCTCCAAATTACTGTTGAAATAATCTAAGCTTTTGGATCCAAAGTACTAATAATACTTTTTTTACATTATGTATATATTACCTTAGCAATCTTTAGGGGTAGCAACCTAAAAATATTAGGGGCAACCTTTCCTCCCCTCACTGCTCTTTTCTGTCCTACTTGCTTTTGCAGAAACCAGGTAAATACCTGGGCAGATTTCTCTGCTATGTATTTAGTTTGTTTACTTCAATGGGAATTTGGAAGTGGTAAGGAAATTACCTGCAAGCTTAAATGCAAGGAAGGTTATCTGTATCTTGAACTAAACTAGAAATCCATCAATTCGCTTTTACTGAAGCAAGGTCTCCTATAAAAATTCATTCCTTAGATTATTTCAAGTCCAATTTTTAAACATAAATCTGTACTCCCCTCCCTTAATCCTACCTAAATTACTCCTTTAACTTTCTCCCCCCACATTGATCTGCCCATCACACTCTTAGGGCCACATCCTGATACTTGCCTAGTAAGAGTTTATTCAAGGAATGCAAATTTATTCTAATATTCATCCCAGTCTGTTTTTATTTTTAAATGCCTTATACATTTCCACTGCATAACACAGACTTTATTCCTAAAATTCTGTTTAAAATTGATTTTTTTGGTACATTAAATGCACCAGCAGAGCTGTTATTTAAAGGAAGCTTTCAGTGAATCATTTTGCAAAGGAAAGAACTTTTATGCAATGTGAATAAACTCCTATCCCAACCCATTTCTACCTCCTTTTCCCACTAACAACAATAACAAAACAAAAAAAAAATCTTTCTTAAATTAGGATTTCTGAATAGTAAATGGGGTTTACCATACTTAATTTAAAAACCAAATATAAACATTTACAGACTCTACACGAAAGCTCTCTCAGATCCATATAAATAATTATACATTCTCTCTTTCTGAGAACTTACTTTCTTTCATCGCTTTCACTTTTTTTTAACAGATTTTT